AATACTTGGAAAAATAATAAAAGGTAAAGCTTTGGGGCAAGATCAAGCAAGAAAATAAGACAAATATCATTAGGATGCAAAAAAAAAAAAAACAACTACATATGCTATAGAGAAAGTAAACAGAGAATATTAACTTTATGCCAATAAATTAAAAATTTAGTTTAAGTGAATTCCTAGAAAAAAAGACAGAACTTACCAAAACTGAGTCATAAAGAAATAGTAAAATTCAAGAAACTAAATCAACAGTTTAATAGCTCCCACCCACAAAGAAAACAGCAATTCAGAAAGTTTCACGAGTTCTATCAAACACTCAAGGAATAATTTCACACAAACTATTGCAGTATACAGAAAAATGATTTTAAAAATGTATACGTACCTGTTTCATCAAATGATGGTACTTTCTCTACTCCGAGAGACTGTGATCCTTGTCCTTTCTGAACGTTTGTGGAATACAACTTTACTTGACTCAGTATACAAACGTATGGAGGACTGTGTGAAACCATGTTTGAAAAGCTTCCAAATGTCACTAAATTCTGCCATTCTAAAGAAAAAAAAAATTTAAATTTCAAATGAATGCCCAGATGCACAATTGCCAACCACCCTCTCCACTGAAGGTGTTTCACTGACCCCAAGATATACAGGAACTACACTTAGTAAAGCAAAAATAAGGACAATATTCCTATTTTCTCTAATTTGTAAATTTATTTGTATGCAAACTTTTAAAAATATAAAAAGTCGAATAAAACATTCATATTACTCAGCTGTCTTGAAAGGTGTCTGGCACATAATAGACACACATTATTCTGTATGCTGATTGCTGCTAAAAAAAAAAAAGTTGGCATACTACCTTTCAGAATAGAGGACTCTGGGAGGGAAGGTCGGGAGGGCTTCCTACTCACAATTATCTGGTGTCCTCCTTCCACTAGCTGGAGTTTTATTCCTCTCTCATTTCACAATCAATAAGTGAATTATATTAATCAGTCATTCATACTGTCACTGATTTTTTAAATCAGATAATTAGATCAACACTTGGTGAGATGCCCCAGTATATGGGAATTTTAATTGAGGGAAGAATAGAAGACTAATTACAAAGCACTTCAGCTGCTGCATCTGGGATGCCTGTGGGCTTTGGAGGCTCAAACACGAAAGGAAAATACATTCCACAACCGCGCTGAAGCGGCAGATCTGTCTCTACTCTCCTGGTGACCCTCTTTATTTTACACTGTGAGTGCTGAGAATTCCCCTTTCTGAAAGAACTCGAAAACACTGTCTAGATATAATGCACATATTTTCTAAAGTTTTAGGTGAAATAATAAAATCAGATCGCTACAGATAGTCAAGTTTTTGCAAGAATGAAGGGCTGAGCATTTAAGGGGAAACTTTTCTAACTGCTTAATAACAATCTTTCGAAAATGTTAATTCGTATATGTGCATGTAAAGATACATGCGTTCTGAAATAAAGAAAAATCTTTTCTGAATGGCTCAGAGAATTCATCAGGAACGTAAGTTATTGTGAATGTTAAAGAGAAGTTGAAGAGCTCCAGGAACATAAGGGAACATTAAGTATTCACTCAAGTTTCAGGCTTGGAACTTCTTTTCTTAAAAAACTTCCTGATGTCAACTTATTCTTTCATTATTTGGTAAACTGTTGGAGGCCTAGTACGTTTTTGGTCATTTTTGTCTATTTCTTAAAGGCTGAGTAAAGCAAGTAAAACAGATTTCCGCACATTAAAATATGCAGGCTACTAGCAAAATTAATTAGTGAAGGAAGGGTTAAAGTAGATTCTTCTAAGAAACTCACACTTGAGAAAAGCATCTTCTTCACC